CGGACCGGTGCCTTAAACCGGCGCCTTAGACCGCTCGGCCACGCTACCACGGCGCGGGTTTTCAAAATAATATTAAAGGCCCCACTGACAAACGCAAAGTATTTTTGCGTTTAATTTCGAATCTCCCTTACGAAACAACTTATAGACTTTGCTATGACTGCCAACCCTCCTAACGATCTTTCTCAAATCAATACATTTGCTGGTTCTTCTAACTGACATTTTCGCCATCGTCTACTTTTAGACTTGCGTAAACACAAATAGTTTTTTGCCATATATATATCCAGTGATGTCTTTTAGCTTGCGGATGACAGATTAGCCCCCTAACCCGGCCGCGTGGTACACGCACTGTGCCAACACGGGGGCTAGATCACGCAACGGCAGGCGTTATTTGAGTTGTGCTCGCATAAAAAATGCCGCCAATCCGCTCTAAGGATCAGTCCATGTAACTCAGAGGCTGGACCGGCCTCAAAAGCCAAGTTATATTCAAGTTAAGATTCCTTCCTTAATAAGTTACTTATCATAATGAAGCACGTCTCTTCAGACAACCATAGGTACTTCATCTTTGAATTTTATACAGTCGTTTGTTGTCGTTAGCTGTTTGTTGTTTTCGATCTATCTTCCTCTTGAAGTTCACTGCTGATGCATACATGACCGAGTGGCCTTTAAGGGGAAGATTAATCGATATAATGGCCCTGCCAGCAAGTGGCCCGGACTGGTCGGGACTGGGGACAGGGTAATCTCGGGTTGACAGACTTTATGAACGAACCATATTTACCGTGCACATTCTTCTTCTTCTTCTTCCTCCTTTTCTTCTTCTTCTTCTTCTTCTTCTTCTTCTTCTTCTTCGTCTTATTCTTCATTTCTACACACACCTGGAATGTTAACTTGCGTCGCTATTCGCAACTAAATTAATACTGATTACCTTTTACTTGTACAAGTAAAAGAAACTCCTTCTCATTAACTCGCTTAGTAGGATCCGCAGAAAGTAAGTGTGGCTCATTGTAAAAAAGTATCCATAAAGGCGTATGCTCGACGTAGTTGTTTTGTGAATGCTGCGTATTTGCGGACCTTGGGAACATATTCCAGGATAAAAGTATCTTCTACCGTATGTATAGTAGTTTTTTAAAAGTATAGTGCTTGAAGTGTCACGTGTTATTCACTGAATGAGCAGAGAAAGTAGCCCAGTATGTGCACATTCAGGGTGTGCATTTGGAGGGAGGGGGTCATTAAGAAATGCGCTTATTAGTTTTACTGACGGCAGAAAATACTTCCCACACCGGGTTTTGCGCCAAAATAATTTCATATTGAGAAAAAATCAGGTGCGATCGCTGGGACAAGAACTTTGTTTGCCCGACCTTTCGGATTCCTTCGCGGATCCATCATCAGAGACGATAGCAGAAACAGGTAATTTATACACGAGCAGTTTCAGTATTTACATTTTAGAGTCGCTAAGCTACTAAACACCTATGAGAATTTACGGCCCCTCCAACCGAGGATAATTGCCCACTTTTGCGCTAATTGCTTGATCGCCGGCGTGCGTTTCGCGAACTGCGCAATGATCAACAGCCATGCTGGATTTAGGTGTGATTATTGCTCGGTCATCTGGTTTCCTAGCACTGGCGTTAGAAGACGGCTTAGTCTGTGCGAATGACGCCCGAGTGGCGAATTGGTTGTAACAAAATGCGCCTATGTACCGAATATCGGTTGGGCAGGTCAT